ACAGCTCTTGAGACAGATTTTTTCTGGAGCCTGATGTTTGCCAAGGAAAAGCATCACTGTAAGCTTTGGTGGACAATTAATCACAGTGTTTGATTAGTCCTTCCCTCCTCCTCCTCCCAGCCCCCTCTGGAATCATCTCTCCCATTCCAACACTTCCACAGCTGCAGTTCCTGATCTCAGGAGCTGCAGAAACAGAGAACTCAGGAAACTGCAAAAAAAGTTCTGTCCAGCCCAGTAATTTCTCAGATGTGTATTTGAGAGGCTGTGTGTGAACCCTGTGCCCTGAGAGCAGGGGGAGGATGCCAGGAGCAGGCACAGGGAACAGAATTCCTGGGGGAGGGAAGTGCAGGATCCTCCTGTGCTCACACGGAAGGTCAGAGCTGCTGCCTGGCAGGACAGGGGTGCCCTGGCTGGAGGCAAACGGGGCACTTGTGGTGAAGGACACTTGGAAGGAGTTTTACTTCTTGTTAGAGAGGAAAAAAGCTGCGGGGAGAAATCTGGATTTCCAGATGCAGATTTTCTGGATTGCATTCCCAGTGTGTGTAAGGCGGCTCTGACTGAACAAGGCACTGCCCAAGATGTCCCATCCTGTGTTTCTTGGATGAAAGAATCCCAAATCCCTGGGGCTGGCAAAGCCCTCCCAGCCCAGGGAGTCCCAGCTGGGCCCCATGCCCACCTTGTCCCCAGCCCAGAGCACTCAGTGCCACCTCCAGGGGACACCTGCAGGGATGGGCACTGCAAAGCTCCCTGGGCAGCCCCTGCCAGGGCCTGAGCACCCTTTCCATGGGGAAATTCCTCCCAGCACACTGAGAAGCAGAGATGTTTTATGCTCAGAACCCAATTTTCCTGGTGACACTGTCAGAAAAATGAAAGATCACAGATGCCCCAGTGGTGCCTGAGCTCCCTTTCTGCCAGTATCTATCATTTGTGTTGGACAGTGAGTCTCTACATTGAACCAATAGAAAAGTGTCACCATCACACCAACACATGGAGGACAAGAAGGAGAAGGTCAGGACACACCTAAATTCCTTCATCTTGTACCCCTTGAACCACATTCTAAAAAGCCCCAAAATTCTACTTTTCCACCCTGTATTAATTCATCTGCCACACTGCTCAAATCCTTGTGGCTTGTAACTCCTCACACAACGTTGGCAGCTTTTTCCATGGGCTAAAATCGAAGCCACAGGTGGTTTTGAGTTTGTGCCAAGGTCTCTGAGCCCCTGCCAGGGTCTGGAGCAGCCAGAGGGATGTGCTGGGCTCCGACACCTTTCCATGGGGAAATTGCTGCTGCTGTCCCAGCTGAGCCTGCCCTGGCCCAGCCTGAGGCCGTTTCCTCAAGGAATCTTCCAGAAGGAACCCAGGGCTGCCATACCCACCAGGAAAGTCTGGAATCCTTTTGGATGAGCCCCAGCTCTTCACTCCGAGGTCTCAGACAACACTAAAAAAACAATCCCCATTCTATTAAAACCCGAATTAAAGCCCAGCCCAGGCAGTTTGCTGGGTAGCCTCCCTTGCTTTCTCCTGGCAGGGCAGGGCGTGGAAACTCTGACGGGGCTTTAATGCCAGGGCAGCGGTGCTGGGGCAGGCCCAGGCCAGCATTCCTGCACCTCCCAGCTCCAGCAGCTCCTGCTGATTCAGGAGAGCTCCGGCAGCCCAAATTTGTCCAGCAGATTAAAAAGCAGGTGCAGCACATGCTAATCCCTCTGCCAAATTGGGCTGCGTGGGAGAGGCATCCAGCAAGAACTTTCCATGCCTTGGCAGCACGTGGAGCCATCCAGGCTCCCACAGCCTTCCAGGGAAGGCACTGGCACAGTTTTGGGGAGGGTTGTGCTGCTGAGAAGGAAATGCTGCTTTTTATGGCAGGTCCTGCATTTTCCCACTGGAATAACATCAATTAATGGATCATTACTTTACTTACAAAGGCTCAGCACGGTTCAGCTCCTAGAAAAGGTCAAAAAAAGCACTTAACCCGAAAGATTAGCAGTTATGACTAAGAACATATCTATATTTAGACTGTCTCTAGTTAAAGTATTTTTTTTTTATTTTAGAAATGGCAAGAGACAATTTAAATTGCTGAAAAGCCCATAACTCTATTCATTAGCACACTTCACAGGGATAGCTTTTTATTCATCTTTAATTTTATATTGTCCATGCTGCTGTTAAAGGCACTTAAGAGAATCCCAGAACTGGGCTGGAAAGGATTTTCAGGATCATGTCCCACAGACAGGGACACCTCCCACTGTCCCTGGCTGCTCCCAGCCCCAATTCCCAACCTGGCCATGGGACTGCCAGGGTACCAGGGGCAGCCCACCCTGCCAGGGAACAATTCCGAATTCCCAAAATCCCATCTAGCCCTGCCCTCCTCCAATTTAAAACCATTCCCTGTGTCCTGGCACTCTCTGCCCATGTAAAAAACCCTCTCCCTCCTTTTCAGAGCCCCCTCAGGCTCTGGGATGGGCTCTGAGTTCTCCCAGAGCTCTTCCCATCAGCCTGACAGCGACTCCCCCCAGGGAATCACTTGGATGAACTCCTCTGTAAATCCCACACGCCCTGGGGATGAGGAGCACTTCTACAGAGCCACAAGTGGCACCCAAAATTTGCATTTTCCGTCTGGAACCAGGCCCTTTTCTGTGTGGGTGGCCCCACGCGCTCCTTCGAAGCGATTTACAAAGAGAAATGCAGAGCAGCAGTTTGCAAAGGTGGGATCGTAAAATCATGGAATGCCGAGGGCTGGCAGGGCTGCCAAAGATCTTTTCCAATATCTGCTGTGGGGATGGCAGCCAGAGCTGGTTTTAGTCAGGACAAAGCCATTGTTGGATATTTAGCTCCACCTATGGACACCTCCTCGTTTGTACCTCTGGAAATCCTTCAGCGATTCCTGCTTGAAGGCTCCAATCCCAGAGCATCCAAGGTGGGAAGAACCTTCAGGAGCACCCAGTCCCACCCCAGCAGCATCAGCATCACCCCAAGGCCACATCCAGACTCCTCCTGGACATTGCAGCGACTCCAACCCTCCCCGGGCAGCTCTGAGCCCAACGTCCCACAGATTTTAAGAGGGGCATGAAAAAAGGATTTCCTTTCAGAAACTTTCCCAAAGGAAAATGATTAATTTGATTTACCTTAAATGGTGTCAGGAAGCTTTGATCTGTAGCACTGGGCATCCAACAGGGTGCCAAGGGGAGGCACCAGGCTCTTCTCAGTGGTGCCAAGCAATGGGATGAGGGATGGGCAGGGACTGATTGCAGGAATTCTCCTGCACAGCTCCTGCCCTGGCAGTGCCCAGCCTGGGCAGGGACCAGAGAGGCTCTGGGCTCCCTCCCTGGGTATTCCAGAGCCACCTGGACACAGCCCGGTGCTCTGAGCTCATTCCAGTGAAGGGAATTTTTCTTTCCCAATCCCCAACCTGAGCCTCTCCTGGTGCAATTCCAGCCCATTTCCTCTCCTCCTTTCCCTGCCCCTCTTGTCAGGGAGTTTTGGGGGGCAATGAGGTCCCCCCTGAGCCTCCTCTTGTCCATTCCAAACACCCCCAGCTCCCTCAGCTGCTCCTTCCAGGATGTGTTTTCCAGCCATGCTCCAAAGAACTCCAAACAAAAGGAATTCCTGGCAGGAAAACACACACAACACTCAACATGACAAAGTCTGGAATGTGGCAGTCTCTGTTATCAGTGGAAATTTTTGTCAGGGAAGATAAATCCAGCTCCATCCTGCCCCCGTCATTGGAGTCACCTCTGTGCTCCTGCCTCACTCCCTGTAACCCTAAAAATTCGGCATTATTTGGGAGCTTAGTGTCAAAAAGTTCTTCACCAGAACATGATGAATGTCTTCATCATTGTTTTGTCTTTCCAGATCCAATTATGAATTATTAAAGGCATGAGCAAGGAATAATTCTCTGGAAGATGTTTCTGAGGTATGTTGGGCAAGGCAAAATGGAAAACTCGTGTTCCCCAAGACAAGCAGAAGCAGAACCTGAGCGGGCAGGTGATGATGCCACGGGCAAAATCCCTGCTGGAATTGTTCAGAGATGGTTCCAAAATTGTTCAAACGGTTCCAGAGCTGCTGGAGCTCGCTCCTTCCCCACCCTGGCAAGCCTGGACTGAAGAAAAACCTCCTGACCCACCGAGCCAGGGTCAGACAGCAAAGTCCCCCCACTCCTGCTGCTCTGCAAAACAAAACTGATTAAAAACCAACTCTGGGCCTTTTGTTGCCTTCACCTCGAAAACGAGGAGGGGCTTTAATTGGGTACCAGAAATTCCTTTTTGCCATCACAGGACTTCCATCCCTACCCACGGCAAAACCTTTGTGGCTTTTCTTAATTTCTTCTGCAACAAAAGAAGTTATCAGGTAAAGGCATTTAAATACATTTAAGTATTAAATGCTTTAATACTTAAAGTTATCAGGTAAACCTTTTTAAATAAAGTATTAAATGCTTTAATATTTAAAGTTATCAGGTAAAGCCATTTAAATACTTAAAAGTTATCAGGTAAAATCATTTAAATACATCGTTTAAATGATGTATTTTTGTATTCCAGGAGCTTCAGAAATCATGGGATTGTGGAATGGTTTGGGATGGAGGAACCTTAAAGCTCATCTCACTCCACATTCCACTATCCCAGGTTGCTCCAAGCCCCATCCAGCCTGACCCTGGACACTTCCAGGAATGGGGATTCCAGAATCTCTCTGGAAAAACATCCCCAAATTATTCATTTTTAAATATTAATATTTTGTGTATTACGGATGCTCAGGGACTATTCTGGAGCAGGAAGATGCTGATGCCTTTATTAGGAACTTGAGGCTCTGAAGAATCAGGTTTTCACTGGAATATCCCCCATTGGTTTTATTCATGAGCAGACTCTCCCATGGGGAGCTCATGAAATTCTCTGAAGGTTGGAAACCTTTTCAAGGCATCAATTTATGAGCATAACATTCTGCCCCTCTGGAAGCTGAAAATTCCCATTTTGGTGCTGAACTTAGAGTGGTTCTGTGCAGAAAACACCAGGACATTTACAAGAAGACAACAAAATATTTTAATATCAATCTGCCCCGTGCTATACAAGTGTATAAAATACCAACCAAGCATCCATTGGAACTTTACAAAAATAACCAGAAAAAGCAAGCAGCACACTGGAGTCATGAGGACAGGAGGTGACAGATCCAACCAGGAACACACTGAGAGCATTCCAAGATTTCCATGGTTCCCACCTCAGGCAGGGGTCAGGTCTTAAAATGACAAAAATCAGATTTATTGATGGTTTGAATTGAAAAGCAGCTGTGCTTCTGTAGGGAACACAGCAGCAGCCACCTGGGTTTCTACTGCCAAACTCATGCTTTGATTTTCCAGGGAAAAAGGACAGGACAGGAATTATTCCCCATGTCTGGAACTGAATGTGGTGAGACACAAAGTCCAGCAGTCATTTGAGAAACGTGGAAAGCTCTTGGAAAGGCTTCAAGGCAGTTGTGGCAAACCTACCAAGTTTTTCTCCACTTAATTCCTTTATTTTGGGCGTTGAGTGCAGCACGTGGGTAACCCAAAATAATCTGATTTTCCTGTGTCCAGCTCCAGCCATCCATGGAATCAGCTCTTCCCAACAGCTCCCAAGGAGCCAGGGTCACTCAGCCACCAGAGCCAGGCTTTGTTCCAGTTTCCAGGGAATAACAATCCAAGCTAGAGCAGGAAATTCAGGATATTCCTGGTCTCCAGGCCCGGATTTCTGTTCCAGTCAGGAATTCCAGGCCTTCCAGAACAACCTGCTTCCCTGCACCGTGGCCTGGAAGGGCTCCACTCTTTTTAAAACAAATATTATTTAAAAAACCAAGGTGTCAACCAGGATTTCAGTCAACATTTGCTTCAATCTCTTCTCAGACCGACTGTGGCAAGAGCAAACCATGAGAGAGCCAGATCTGATTCCTAAAAACACGATGAGAGAGGCTCCACAATCCCTTTTCCAAACCCCCAAGTGGTATTTTCTATGGATAGCAATTCCTGTCTCTTCCCAAAAAATCCTGAACCCTGCTTCAAGGTGAGGATCTCCAGTTTAAAAAACAGTATTAAAATATTTCTGCTGTTTTTCTTCTTTGAAATTTGCATTTAGGAGCCTTTAAACACTGCCATAAAAAAAAGCCCTAAAGCTTCTCCCACATATTCCCACTGCTTAAATCAGCATTCCTTGGCATTAAGCATTTCATCCCAGCTGAGTTTGGAAGCAAAGCTCAGAAAGTTTGGATTTTTGGATATCCAAAGCCAGTAGAAAAAGATCCAAGTGTGCAGCTTGGAGTAGGAATGGACAAGGCAAAGGCACTCCAGCTCTCCTCACTACGTCCTGGGTGGAATTTTCCAATCCCAATCCAAACTTTACTCACCAAAAATGCAGATTCAAGTTTCTCCATAATTTTTTTTTTCCCCACTGGAAAAATCCCCCTGCTCTGAATATGCACCATCAGCATTATCCGAGTCCTTTTTTCCCTCCTCGAGTCAAAGCTCCCCAACAAATCCTAATGAAGATATAAATTATCTGAACTTAAATAATTTAAAATCCATGTATTCCAACAACTCTCCTATTGCACGTTTTTCCACTGCTCTGCCAGGTAAAACCCTCTGCAGGAATTCCAAAGGTGAAAATTTTAAAAAGCACAACTTCCAGAGCACCAAAAGCGGGTGCTGGAGGAATTGGATCCTGCTGGAAAACGAGGGCCAATAAAACCAAATATAAATATATCATGTATGTACACATCCAGGAGGAATTCTGGGATGCTGAGATAATAAATACTTGGAAACAATTCCCAGATTTCCAGAAACTTGGGAGAAACTCTAGAAAAGAAAGCAAATTACTTGAGAAGACCAAGAAGAAACATGCACAAAACCTAGCGTAAGAAAAAGGGTTAAGCTCCCAAAATTCCCATCATCCTTCCAACCCCGTTATCCCAAGGTTTTCCAAACACCCACCGCGGGTGTCACAAGGAATTTTCCCCCAGAATAAGCCCAGTTATGTCCCAAAATGTCCCCTTCTCCCATCCTTTGCTCCCAGGATCCAGGAATTCCCTCAGCACACGGCATCGACTCCAAACCGAGCGCGGCATTCCCTCCTCTGGAGCACACCTGGAATTCTCCTCCCGCAGCCGCCGTTCCGGGCGGTTTAGCGCCGCGAATCCTCGGAATTTTGGCTTTCCCCTGGAAACGGGGCCCGGCTCAGCTGAGGTGGGCGGGGGCGTAGTCGGGCCGGCGGGTCTGGATGATTTTGGGTTTGGGTTTTCTGGGCTCCTCCTCGGCCTCGCTCTCCTGGTCGCTCTCGCAGACGTGCACGACCACGCTGGGAGTGGTGGCCGTGGCCGCGTGCAGCTCGTACTTGTCCCCTGCAGGGAGACAGCGGAATTCCTCAGAAAATGGGACATGGTGGCTTCTCCATGGGGTTTTTGGGTGGGGAATTCCTCAGGGAACGTCATGGGGTGGTTCTTCTGTAGGGTTTTGGGTGGAGAATTCCTCAGGGAATGTCACCGGGTGGCTTTTCCATGGGGTCTTCGGTGGGGAATTCCTCAGGGAATGGGACATGGTGGCTTTTCCATGGGGTCTTGGGTGGGGAATTCCTCAAGGAACGGCACGGGGTGGCTTTTCCATGAGGATTTTGGGTAGGGAATTCCTCAGGGAATGGACATGGTGGCTTTTCCATGGGGTTTTTGGGTGGGGAATTCCTCAGGGAATGTCACGGGGTGACTTTTCCATGAGGACTTTGGGTTGGGAATTCCTTAGGGAATGGGACATGGTGGCTTTTCCATGGGGTTTTGGGTGAGGAATTCCTTAGGGAATGGGACATGGTGGCTTCTCCATGGGGTTTTTGGGTAGGGAATTCCTTAGGGAATATCACGGGGTGACTTTTCCATGAGAATTTTGTGTTGGGAATTCCTCAGGGAATGGGACATGGTGGCTTTTCCATGGGGTTTTTGGGTAGGGAATTCCTCAGAGAATGGGACATGGTGGCTTTTCCATGGGGTCTTGGGTGGGGAATTCCTCAGGAACGTCATGGGGTGACTTTTCAGTGGGGTTTTTAGGTGGAGGTTTCATTGGGAAATGTCATGGGGTGGTGCTTCCGTAGGGTTTTTAGGTGGGGAATTCCTCAAGGAACGGCACGGGGTGGCTTTTCCATGAGGATTTTGGGTAGGGAATTCCTTAGGGAATTCCTTAGGGAATGGGACATGGTAGTTTTTCCATGGGGTTTTTGGGAAGGGAATTCCTCAGGGAACAGCACGGGGTGGCTTTTCAGTGGGGTTTTAGGTGGAGAATTCATTGGGAAATGTCACGGGGTGGCTTTTCTCTGGGATTTTAGGTGGGCAATTCCTCATGGAACAGCACAAGGTGGTGGCTTTTCCATGGGGTTTTGGATGGGGAATTCCTCAGGGAACGTCATGGGGTGGTTCTTCTGTGGGGTTTTTGGGTGGAGAATTCCTCAGGGAATGTATCGGGGTGGATGCTCCATGGGGTTTAGGTGGGGAATTCCTCAAGGAATGTCACAGGGTGCTTTTCCATGGGGTTTTGGGTGGGGTATTCCTTAGGAAATGTAATGGGGTGGCTTTTCTGTGGGATTTTAGGTGGGGAATTCCTCAGGGAATGGACATGGGGTGGCACTTCCGTGAGGTTTTGGGTGGGAAATTCCATAGGAAATGGGACATAGTGACTTTTTAATGGGATTTTTAGGTGGAGAATTCCTTAGGGAATGTGACATGGTGAATTTTTAATGGGGTTTTTAGGTGGAGAATTCCTCAGGGAACAGCACGGGGTGGCTCTTCCTTGGTGTTTTTGGGTAGGGAATTCCTTAGGGAATGTGACGTGGTGAATTTTTAATGGGGTTTTTGGGTGGGAAAATTCCATAGGAAATGTCACAGAATGGCTTTTCCATGGGGTTCTCAAGTGGGGAATTCCTTAGGAAATGGGACGAATTTTTAATGGGGCTTTTAGGTGGGGAATTCCTTAGGGAACATGATGTGGTGAATTTTCAATGGGGTTTTCAGGTGGGAAATTAGGAAATGTGACATGGTAAATTTTTAATGGGATTTTTTAGGAAATGTGACATGGTGAATTTTTAATGGGATTTTTAGGTGGAGAATTCCTTAGGGAATGTCATGGGGTGACTTTTCTGTGGGGTTTTAGGTAGGGAATTCTTTAGGGAATGGCACAGGGTGGTTTCTAGGTGGGGAATTCCTAAGGAAGTTTTAAATCCCAACATGAAGGAGCTCCAAGTTGTGCCTTGCCCTTTTCTCCATCCTTTACAATTCCCTGAGTCTGGAGGTGAACAGGAATTTTAAAAATCCTCCTTTAAAATGAATCTGACAGTTTTTATTCTCTTTGATCTTATTCATGAGAATAATTTTTCTTATATAATAAGAACAATTTAATTCTCTTTAGTGTTATTAAATGTGACCATTTTTCTCTCCACTAAAATGAACAATATGGTCCCAACCAGGTTAAATCTGAGTTGGATTTAAGGAAAAATTAATTTGCACCAATTTTCATGGATAAGTTATATAAAATATGGGAAAAAAGGAACTCGAGGGATGTGATCATTAATCACTGGGGGAAAGAGTGGCAGGAATTTATCCCTCTTAAATTCCAAGGAATTTTAGGCTCTTATTGATAGTTCTTCCTACACTCAGTACAGTTTCCTCCTCTGAGGCAAACAGAAATAAAAATATATATAAAATTTAAACAGAAATAAAAGTAAGCAGAAAATATAAATAGAAAGAAAAATAAAGAAAATAGAAATAGAAAAAGAAAAGAGGAATAAAATTAGAAATTAATAAAAATAAATAGAAATAGACAATAAATATAGAAAGTATAAATAGAAATAAAAATATATAGGAATAAAAATAAATAGAAATAAAATATAAATGGAAAGAAAAACAAACAGAAAGAAAATAGAAATAAAAGTAGAAATAAAAAGAAAAATAAAATAGAACTAAAATATAAATAAAAATAAAGAAAATAGAAAACAAAAATAAACAGAAATAAAAATAAACAGAAAGAAAATAGACATAAAAATAGAAATAAAAATTAAAAATGAAATATAAATAGAACTAAAATATAAATAGAAATTAAAATAAAGAGAAAGAAAATAGAAAAAGAAATAAATATATAAATAAAAATGAAATAAAAATAAACAGAAAAGAGAAATAAAGATAAATACAAATAAAAATAGAAACAAAATATGAATAGAAAATATAAATAGAACTAAAATAAAAATAGAAATAAAAATAAACACATAAAAATGAAATAAAGATAAAAATAAACTGAAAGAAAATAGAAACAGAAATAAAAATAGAAATAAAAATGAAAAAGATAAAAATAAAGAGAAAGAAAATAGAAATAAAAATAAACACATAAAAATGAAAGAAAGATAAAA